AAATAGATAATCCAGCATTCCATGCGCCGAAATATTCAAGACCGCTACAACAAGGGAGGATGGAATAATAAGAATATGAAAATCCAAAACCCCCAGATAACGTTAGTCATGAAGGTGTAAGTACCAGTATCGGGAAAGCCAACAGGCTGCTGTATTTTCGAAGAAAACGAATGCACATTGGTTATTATATTCTGGACTGATGAACCTTTGTTGGACGTCTTTCGTTTCATGTTTCATTTCTCCCAAAAAACCAACCATCACACCGTAGTCTTTTTTTGCCTATCGAGGTACAGCAAAATACTATAGTTGATCGAAATCCCGATTACCGATGTGTGAGTGTGGTCTGATCTGATAGGAACAGCAGAAGGAAAACCACCGGAAATGCATCACAGGAATATACAAAAGCAGTTGAATGTTCCAATGATTATATATATATATATATATCATACTTTTTGAGGTCAGATTGTGTGTCCAAAAAAATTACGGTACAAGAATCGTCATAAAAAGAAAAAATCCGTGATTTCCATATGGGCACGATACCCCCGGGTCACCCAGGCTACGGTAGGTGAATTTTCTGGAGCAATTCACAATTGGCGCCTTCAGCTAATCCAAACCTGACCCAGGGCTTTTAGCCAACTCAACTATATGAACTGCCATTGGTTCACCAACCCGGTTATAGTCCCGGATTTCAACTATTCGTGCTAACACTTTGGAAAAACACGTCAGCCATGGAAATCCAGTGAGGAGGGCCTCGTCAGCAGACTATTTCAAACGCCTGGTACTATTGGAGCATTCCGAGATGTGCTGAGGAAGGATGACTGCTGAAGAACCGAGAGACCCGTCCCCGACCATACTGAGGCTTTCGGATATTTTATAAAGATCATTATTCTGTGATTTGTTTGGCACGAAGTCTGAACGCAGACCAGTGTGATCATATAACGTCCGAAATAGATCATAGAAAACCATAGAAAATAGTGATAATAAGGTGGGTACATTTATTTGAGTGGGTTGCATCAAAGTGTAAAAGGCACCACGGATGTGAGCAGGTTAGCTAATGGCATTTCAATAGCCCTTTCTATGAATAATTTCTGAAGGACGACAAAGCAGGTAAGCCGGCGAACAAACAACCATAACTTAATCGCCAGTCTCAGGTGTTGAGCAATTATGGTGCCTATGGTATTTCACACAAAATTTAGATTTCTCATTCTAAATTGTCAACCTGTGCAAGCTATTTCAGTTCGCAGAATAAACGATCAAGTTGCGTGCAAAAATCACCGTGAATAAATTCTAAGTTGAGTTAAAAACACCGAATCCGAACGACCGTGTGGAACGTTTTTCGGACAAACGGAACGTAGTATGAGTACAATGTATGTCACTTGTCAGTAGGTCATAACGTTTTGAGTTGTTTTGCGTGCTGTTTTTATGTGGTTTCTGTTTTTTTAGCTAATTGGATTCAGTCAGTTTTCTCTCATTCAAACAGTTCCATCTGCAACGCATTCGATCAAAAGTTAGGGCTTGTATCTTTAAGAAACTGAGCACCCAGTAAAGTGATCCTTTTAAAATGACGAATATATTCTTCAGGTATTTTTTATTACACTATTTTTGATGAACAGTCAACGGCATAATCCAAATAGTTATGAGGAACCGTATTCCACATAGGCGAACCGGCAGCCTAATCCTCGGGACTTGGGGTGGCCAAGCACAGAAGGCCGCACGAAGTTAGCCGTGGTACAGCGTCGGACAGCAAAGTGGGGTGACTTCGGCGGAATTTAAACCTCGGACCTTAAGGGCTTATAATTATAAAAGCTCTTCAATGAAACACCTCGCTCAAAGCCCCAGAAAAACGGAAATAACTCAACTCTGTCATTGCCCAGTTCACCGATGTGATGAGCAGTTAGAAAAACGTGTATAAAAATCGTAGTTTAGTTTGCAAGTCAGGCATTCAACGTGATAACGCAACAGTATTAACAGCCATTCACTGTAATCATAACAGCAGTTAAAACTGCTCACAGTAATACTGCCAAATCGATTCGAAGAGGCGAGGGAAGCGCACAAACTATCAAATCAATAGCATCCCGCTGAGATAAAAGCTGTGGTATTTAGATGGATCACCTCCGTCAGATAGTGAGAAATCGCTACACACTTCAGCAGCCCACGACGGACTGTTTCATTGACTTCTGCATTGCTCCGCAGAATTTGATTTAGAAAATAATGAGGATTGTATACGTGAAAGACTCATAGAATGGATACAGGCCCAGTGTTAAGACACCTGAATCCGATTTCTCGCTTATAGAGAGAGACCTGAATCTCCTTTGAACCAATAAGTTCGACAAGGCTGACCACTGTCGTCGGTGCTGTTAAACTACCTCATTGGCTAAACGATGAACGACCGTAATCCAGCTCATTACTCTGATGTGCAAATACTCGCAAACCTCGAGTGTGAGGACGAAATCTTCATTCTCGAAGACAACACGGACGACCTATAGCTGATCCTCGACCATATCACCCGTTCGGTGATGATTTGAGAAGGCTTGTTGACCTCCAAATGCTCTGAGTGATTGTTGTTCTCGAATGAGAAGATGCAACGCGATGCCTGTTCTACTTAATCTGGAAACGGTTTGACACAGTTCATTCAGGATACTACAGAGATGTAAAGAACCACCAATGGCTGGAATGGCTCTCTTTCTTAACTTCTTTCTTGGTACCAACGGCTAACTGGGGTTATTAAAATAGGGTTAAAATAAACTAGAACTCAACTATAAGCACCACACAAGATCAGGCCTGTGTCAATTTTCCAAACAAAGTTATATCATTACTTAAACGAGGTTTTTCTTCTGGCATAATAAAATTCACACCAAAAATAAAACGGAGTTCAGCAGAGGCTGTGAGAATTTAATTACCAAGTGACGTTGAAAAGCACTTCAAACAAACAGATTATAGACTACTTCACAGGTATTGACGAAAACAAGAAAGCAATCAACGATTGAAATTAATCGAGAATTTAAAAGAAATCACCATTCGATTTCGGTTTTATTTCGGTCTTCATTTTATCGTTGGTTTCCATTTTCACCGTGTCAAAACAGCAATCGGTAAAACAACACGCATACGACTAGTTAATATGAAATGGACTGAATAAGTATTAAGTTTTACGCTTACTTCAACATCCGATCCTCACACTCATCTAAACTGTAATCTGCTTCACCGGCTGCGACGACACCGATCGGTTCAACTGGAGCCTCACGCGTGGGAGTTTGAGTAGGGAGTACAGGCAATACGGATCCATGAGTCTGGAATGATGCCCCATGTGGAAGACTGTGTGACACATGGAACGTGCGACCAATCATGGTGCTGGTACCACCGCTTGCTGTACCGGAGGTTGAGGTTGCAGGCGTGGTCGACATCGTTGTAGTGATGGGTGAAGACACCACCGTGGAACCAATGGATGGCATTGCCGCGGTCGGCCTTGCCAACGCACTGGCCGTACGAGGAACCTCTGTGGTAGAAACAGGGGTTTGCGAATGTGTTGCATTAGTTGCAAAATTTGCGGGTCGCGAAGTTGGTGATGCTTTACTCGGACTATCACCGGAGGGTTCAACTACCACAGCACTTGTGTGCTGTTCAGTCTGAATTGTGATCGGGATTGGATGACTTTCTCGTTGCTCCAACTCATCACCCGAGGCGTCTTCGCTTTCTTCCGTTTT